ACTTTTTGTAACCAGTGGAGTCGCCCCCTGCTGGCCAGTAAAATTAATGCAGGTTTAAGGCACTTCCGCATTGGCTTCACCAAGATGTTGTTCCCGCTTGGTCTGAGCACACATTTCTTGCCCTACTTTGGTGTAGCAATCTTGCCCTATGTTCAGATCTCAGCAACTGCCAAATGATGATGACAAAACTAACTGTAAACGGGTAAAATGTTAGCAAACATTTTCTTAGTTACTCATCCAGCAGACACAGAGCAACAATAGCATTCATTTTGGAGTCGTGTTTCAGGCCAACTGATATTCACTCTCCCTTTCTGTCTGCTTGATCTCCACCAACATGTGAGGGAAAATATCTGGCTCTTTAATTGCTAAATGCTCCGCTTACTAGCTAGTTGCTAACTTTGTCTTGGCGTTTGGTGCTGGGAAGCTTTTAGAGCTTTCATGCTGAAAACAGCTGCCATGGCTGAATATGAGATTGATGAGAGCGGTGAGAGTGAACCAAAACAGCACAGTTGAGTGTGATAAAACCAAAACAATGAGCTAAAAGACGCAAAAAGCTCTGTAGTGCTGAGGATAACTGCAGAGTTGTGATAATTTTCTGCGTGTTTGTCAGTAAAAATGATTTCACATCACACAGCTGACCAAATTTTAACATAAAATATTGATTAAAACAGTATACTCTATGATAATATACTCTATGATAATAAACCAGTTTTTATCCCTATGTCATACTAAAAACAGTTTTTGTTGATTGTGTGCATTTTAATTCTTCAATTCAATTACGGAAACCATCAACATTAGACGGTGAAACCATGGCTTTTGTCATGAGCGTATGGTAAGTAGCGGTCTGGGAACCTAAGCCAAGTTCTGTAGATTAGATTTGTAGACAAGATGTGTTGAGGCATTGATAGAAACATTCAGACCAGCAGATTCCGTCTGGGCCGAGTCATGAGCAGCTTGTCCAGACAAGTCCTGTGCGTGGAGATGAGGACATAACACAGGGACTGATCCCAATCACACACTGACAAGAAGACCCTTTTTTCTATTTACTTTCTGTCTTCATTACTCATCCCCTCCTTATTTCTCCCCCCAAAATCACTCATTCACTTCAACAGTTCCTACATTTATACTAAGATTTGTTTCCTTATCTTCAGATTTTGTCTTATTCTGTGGATCAGAATCTTACTGCCACCTCATGTAAAAGACCACAGCTGATGATCAGTGAGTGCAGGTTGATTTCTGTCAGCGTAGGTCAGCCATTGGCTGGGCTCTGGCGCTCAGTTGCAGCTGTTGTGTCGAACAGTGACCCTGTGTGCAGTTCATGTCATGTGTGGGAGTCAGTGACAGACATGTGGTTTCTCTGTGTCTCTGTCTGGGCTGGCCTCAATTGAGCAATCGGCCACATGTTTGAGCTTTGTGTGCAGCCTTTGAGCTGGTGCTTCCTTGGTGTGACTTGCACTTTTGTGTTAAGGGCAGGTGAACCCTGTGTCCTGATGCCTATAGCCACCCTGATTACATGTTCTATGAGTCCAGCTGTCTGTCCAAGCCAGCTCTTGATGCATCTCCCGAAACACAGAAGAGAGCGAAGGGAAGAGTGAGAACGCCGGCCCTCCTCTGTAAATGGAAAACATACTGAGCATTTCTCTTTTATTTGTTTCCTCCCTGTTTCCTTTTGCTTTGGTTTTTTTTATTGCAGAAGATTCCAGCCCAGAGCGACTTGAGGTTTCTCCCTCTTGTGGTTAATCTGGAGGCTCTTGCCGGATCACGCTGTGGCTCAGCCATGCCAAAAGCGCAGCGTCACTTTCGACACAAACATACATCCCATCCCTCCCTGCCACCGCAGCTGTGGCAGAGGCAGTCAGCCAGTGGGCAGAAGCCACAGCGCCTTGCCACAGAGGTTCAGAGAGAGGCACTGCCCTGCCACCCCCCTGTGGAGAAGGGCACGGCTCACAGTTATGGCTCATTTAGGCCACTGCTATGACTATGCACCCAGTTCCATTTTTTAATTCCCAAAACCCCCTTTTTAATTTTGTGGTCGAAATTGTATATTTCCTTGTGAAGAAATGAATAAGAAAATAAGTTTAAATAAGTACAAATATTCCAAAATGCACAACTTTCAGATGCTGTTGTATTTATAGCCATGCTCGCAGCTCTAGTGAAGGCAGTGTTGGTCCGTCACCACTTTGGTTCAGACTGAAATATCTCAACAACTTGCACATCGATTGCTATGAAATTTTGTACAGACATTCATGGTCCCCAGAGAATGAATCCTAATTTCTACCATCACCAGAAGGTTGATATTTTTGAGTTTTACTGAAATGTCTTGACTTCGATCAGATGGAGTGCCATGAAAATTGGTTTAAATATCCATGATCCCCAGAGGATGAATCCTAATGACTTTGGTGATCTTTTGATGTTTCTTGATTATTTGGCCCAAACTTTTATACAAACATTCATGGATGCTGGATAATAATGACTTTGATGATCCTCAAACTTTTACTTTAGTGTAACTGTCGCTGACACAAATGGATTGCCGTGAACATTCATGTTCTCCTCAGAATGATCACCAGACTTTTTAATTTTTTCTTAGGTCCATCATCAGGTCAAAATATATTTGTCCAATACTTTGGATTAGGAGTAAATATGACATTCCCATCAGCATCCGCTATAATTTGTATTTAGTGCTAATTTGCAAATGTTAGCATGCAAACACGCAAAACTAAGATGGTAAACAGTATACCTGCTAAACATCAGCATGTTGGCGTTGTCATTGTGAGTAGCCTTTATTAGCATGCCGACATTAGCATTTACTGCTAGTATGGCTGTAAATGCTTGTAGTTTTGTTTATTCTAATATCAGAATACAGTGAATCAGAGGACAGCGTGTATGTGTATGTGTTGAGGGGAGCTGGTGTGTAAGCACAGGCAGGTGGTGAGTGACACACGGCAAAGTTCACACAGATTGAGCTCTGAACAGGGGTCAACATTTGATGTCAATGTTTTTCCCCTTTCTCCTCATTCCTTTTTTTTGTTTTGTTCTAAACTACCCTGAACCACATCTTTCTTTCCCAGCTTTACAAGTGTTTGTTTGTCTTTTAATTGGTTTGTGAGGCACCCCTACCCTCCCAAACTCCAACAAGTTGCCAAGATACAGACCATGAGAAGGAATTTCAGGACCTCAGTAAATCTATAAAGGACTCTGGCAAATGCAGGCAAACATGGTTCTGTCTTTAACAGAACAGTTCAGTACATTAAATTCCCATTTGTCCTGTGGAGAGTTTGTTTCTGGGACATGTCTTAATGTGACACCTGAGGGCTCTGCTGTGTCAACAGGTTGCGTTTTGCTGGACGACCTCAAACAGAAGTCAAAATGTTCCTATGGATCAGCTGTCCTGTCTGGGACTTACTGTTTGACCATCCTTCAGTCCAAGTGACCAGGCTTTAAGAAATGTTGTGTTCATCGTACGTATATGGTCTCAATGTTGGGATATGAAAAGAGGCTTGTTGTGCAACCATGCTGTGAACAAGGTGAAGTGTGTTCCTTCTCTAAACTTTAGAGTTTATGTCACTTGTAAAACCCAGATTGACTGGTATATGCAGGCGAAAGGAAACAGGGTTGTTTATCTTGTGTCTGACGTAATTCTGTGATTAGCTTTGGGCTTTTATACCTCCGCTCTCACACAGTCTGATCCCAGGCAGACGTCGCAGCTGACCTGAGACAAAGCACATATGAACTCAATTTTCTCCCACAGACAGCCAAAACAAACAAAAACAACAACAGAAAATGCATGCTGACGTATGCAGATAGGAAGGAAATCCATAAAAAAACAAGCAAGGAGGCAGGGCGTTGAGATGAAAGGAAGCTCGGAGGGCAGGCGGCTGGAATTTAGCACATCTGTTACCTTGGCAGGGCTCTCAGTCATGTGCGATGTTGTGGAGGCTGAAAGATGGTCAGAGAGTGGCCGTGTAGGTCTCCAAGCTCGTTCACATATTTTACAGGACAGATTTGTTTTCATTTTGGTGTTTTTCTTGAGCGGTGAAAGTTTATGTTTTCCTCCCAATTTTTGTGATTGAATGTACAAAGTTCTCTTTACACTTAGTCAAAAGGAATTCAAAGATTTTTAATGAAAGTGCTTTACAGCTCCTGGACATTTCTATATTATTTATGAGTTGATTGGTTTACCACAGTCCTCAATAAACACTTTTGGTATGTGTTGCACAACACATTATGAGCTTCTGGAAATCACATGGGAAAATATTGCAGTTGAACAACAACTACTTTTACAGGCCAGCACCCAAACTGAATTAAGATTACGTTTTTAAGCATTGTTTTATCTGTTTCCTGATTTGAATTATGTTGTATGCAACTTTTTATGCTGCCATCTTGGCCAGGTCTCCCATGCAAAAGAGGTTTTCTATCTAAAATGTGGCTTAACTCAGTCAATAAAATAAAAAATAGCATAGGTCTGAATGTTACAAACATTAACATTTTCTTACTCTTTGTTCCTACTTTCTCATTTTAGATCTTGAATCTTGAGTGTGTTATGTGGTGTTATTGTATCCCTGTTGCCCTGAGACAACCACTCAAGACAATGATGTTTGCCAGTAACAACACAATCGCACCAGTCTGCTTGCCCCACTGTTTCTTTTTCTACCAGTAAATTACATGGAGCGACAGCCACAAACCTTTGAATGAATCACATTTGGACAAAAATAACAAAACTGGCACTGATAATAAAAGTGTTCTCCTGCCTGGTGATTATAATTAGTTTGGTAAATACCAGCACTTTTAGATCTCATCGACTTTTTGTCTGGAATTCCCCTCATACTGTTATAATCATACAGTACACGCTCAGATCAAGAGACACCCCTTGTTTATTTTCACAGCTCTGTTAAACCATTAATGCACAGGCACATTGTGGCCACAGAATGATTCATGAAGAGGGTGAGGGCGGAGTGGGTTTTAACCTCATTACCTTTAACCTCTTCCTGTTTGTCCCACAGTTGCTGCGGCTGGTGACGGTATCTGAGAAGCGCTGGAGAGCTCGGTCGCGTGGAGGAGGAGTGGATGGGTGGAGCGATGAGGGGGAAGAGGGATTCGAGAGTGGTGACTGTGATGATGAAGATGAGTGCACCGGAGTGTCAGGGCTCGGGCCGCCACCGAGACGCAAACGGTTACGCATCTTTGCAGGTTAGACGCAAACATTCGAACTGGATCTCAAAATGAAAGAAAGCAGCTTGTGTGGTTTCAAATTAAGTCCTGCAGCCACAGTGATAACTTAAAATGACCTTAAATTGCATTAATGAGATGGGTTGTGAAAAAATGTTGGGCACAAGCGATTAAGTTGTTTATGTTTAAGTCAGCTCACTAAATTGGAGCTATTTACTTTAAAACTGGTAAGTGCACGAATAGGTTTGGCTTCTTCTGCAGTGAGTCAGAGCAGCCACAGTCCAAACACAGGCAGTGGGCACAGCAGAGAGGTGTTTACATGACTACTATACATGTTGACACCGACGCGATACTATGCAGCAAGAGACGTGAGACTTCCTCAGGTAGCCGCCTCACCTTGACCTCCTGACCTCCCCGCTGTCAATCCCTTCGAAACGTCAGACGTGCTCTCCAAAAGACAAACAAAGAACAAATGAAGCTACAAACTGTTGGAAGAAAAGAAACCAAACAGTAAAAGAGGGAGAAAACAGCCAGGGAGCAGGAACAAGGGGGTTCAATACACCGACACAAAGCCAACGCAGCTGAGCAAACACGGCAGTGGGAGTAGTCCTCCTGTCGGGGATGTTGTGGCAGAGATTTGGGATCGCCTGGCAGGGATTGAGAGCAGGAACCCGGGGTTAATGAAGGAATCCTGTGGGGCCATCACTTCCACCAGGCTGGGCCGTGAGAGTTGGATGCCCTCTCTTGCACGCTCCTGTTAGCCTGACTGTACAGTTCTGCTTCGATACACAGAGTCATTACCCCATCTTCTCTGGCTTACAAACTGCTGAAGGTTGACACAGTGGGAAATTAAAGCACCCTTTTAGTCTGACCTCCATCTCAATCTCAAAATCTGTTTTCCCTTATCTGTCCTATGATTTAGCAGATTAGATGTATATTTGGTGTGTGTGTGTGTGTGTGTGTGTGTGTGTGTGTGTGTGTGTGTGTGTGTGTGTGTGTGTGTCTGCAAGGCACATATACGGCTGTTTGCGCCTGTTTGTACATGAGCCAGTAAGGTTTGCAGACCTTGAAGAGTCCCTGCTCATTGGCAGGTAGCCAGATAGCTGCTGATAGCCTGTGATGACTCAGCTAAATGCTGACCTAGCACGGCCCCTCAGCCCATTTTGGTCAAACAGGGGACTGGGGTTCAAAGGTCAACCTGCAGACTATGAGGCCTAATGGGCTGCGTGTCTGTGGTCTGCTGCTCTGAAATGGAATAGGCAGATCTGGTTTCACAAAGCCTAGAGTGGCGCAACAGTGTAGCACACACACACACACACACACACACACACACACACAACGAGGAAAGGTGACAGAAGCCACAACAACAAGGTGTAGACAGGACTGACGCAGGGCCTAGACCCCCACACAGCCCAGCTGTCAACCTGCACCACACAGAGGATGTACCCAGACGTACCTAATGATTGATCTGTCCTCACTCATTCTCTATACGGATTCCATAACCTTCTGATCACTAATGCTACGCACCCACAACACACACAGAGACACACTCACATCCCCTCCCGACCAATCAAACCCCACGCCGCACATTCCCCAGAGCATTCCAGGCCAGGGAAGCTATTCCAGGACAGGGATCCCCACCCACCCACACACACACACACACACACACACACACACACACAGACCCACACCACCACTCCTCCAAAGTCAGACTAATAGGCAGGCACTGGCCTGGTTACAGCTCACTCACTGGCCTCTCTGGTGATGTGTCAGTTAATTCTATTATTTGTGAAGTGGGAGCAGAAAAATTGTCAAAAACAGTTCATATAATTTGAGGCTGCAACTGTTTTGTTTAAGTGGCGGTTGACATCACGCCAGGCCGCCAGCCATAATAAATTACACATGTTATAGGGTAAAACAAACACATGGTAAAGCCTAATTATTGTCAGAAGATCAAATTATTTGTCTTCAGTCACCTAGACATACCATATGCACGTTGTTTAAACCAAGCCTATGTCTATTTTTCTGAACAGTGGCTGCTGCGGCCACAATTGTCAATTCTGAAATAATGTTAAATGGTAAAATGTCAGGTGCCAGAAACTCAAGTAGGGAAGAGTCTTTAAGTCAGATAACTGACTCAGTAATCTTATTTACACGGTAATATTTACCTAAAGTTAGTTAACATTAGCCACCAAAAACTACTGGTAGTTACATAGTCTCACTTGTAGTATTTTAAATTTGCCTCTGGATGTGTTATAACACACATTTATAGCAGTAACTCTGAAGGTCTTCATTACACAATTAAAACTATAGAACATATTGCCTAGTCAGAAAATACCTGTTACATTTAAACAAAAAAAATTTTTTTTGCCATTATAATCTCAAAATGTGTATGTGAATACACATAAGTATGGGTTTGTCTGCATGTGCAGTTTTTCTAATCCTGTAATCTGTGATACCGTAGGACCGTCTTTCATTCACGAGGGCTCACCTGTGTTTCTGTGCTTTCATGCACACCTGGTCTCTGACTGCACGACCTCTGTGGGAAACAAAGAATCTGCCACCATCTCCATAAAATCTGCTCAAAGCATCTCTTCATTCCCTCATCCTCACTTCATTTTTATTCTCCTGCTGTCACTTCAGATTTGTACCACAGTGTTTTCAGAACACAGCTTCACAAAAGCACCGGCCACTTTACAGTAAACAGTCTTAAAATGAATGATGAAAATCAGCGTTAAAGTGGAAACCTCCCAGTGAGGTCAATCATTTGTTTCCAGCTAGGTTTCAGTTCTTTTTTCCACTTCTATTTGTAAATTAAATGTCAGCACTGTAAAATATATCAAATCATTCTCATGAATTTCAAGGAAATGTTTCTTGACTCAAGTTAGTTCCTGAAACAAAATGATTTGAGAAAATGCCTCTTTTTATAATAGGAGTTGACCACTCTAGCTAACAGACTAAATAACTTGTTAAAATGGGTTTTTGATGCAGTTTGGAAACATGCAGTAGTCTGAAAGCCAACAGTTGGTGGGCTCTACTACAGCACAGCAGCCCGTAGCTCTGCCTTGCTGAGCAGGACTGGCCTTTGCTACGTGCTGTACCTCGGCATGCTCAGCAGGAGCCGCGTGAATAGGCCTCTTGTTATGTTCCCGCACTCAGACATTCGGTCACTGTAGGCACGCTGAAGGAAAGCCGTTCTTTTGGAAGCATTTGAGCATTTTATCAGCGCCAGGGGTTAGCAAAATACAAAGTGGAAATATTCCTGTAATGTGAAACATGCGGCTTGCGATGAGAGGCTGGGCTCACCTTTCAGGTCTGCTACAAATTTTGTGGTTGGAACAAAGGAGCGAGTAAAAGAAAGAAGAAGGTGACGAAAGAATGCGGGGAAAGAACAGACAGAGACAAAAACACCTTTGATAACTCTAAAGGTTGATACACTAGGAAACCTAAACATTCTTTACTCTTTATGTGGGTCGAATTGTCAGCCGTACGTGCTGCCAATGCGAGAACCTGGTATGTTAATTAACCGCAGCTGCGACCCCTGACCCTGTGCACCTGAAAGGTGAGTCACACGGCGCCGATCCTCCACAGTAGTGTTTGCCACATGTCTTCATCAATAAAAGCCATGATCCAGACACTGTTGACATAAGCTCTGGCAGCTCTGGATGCATTCACCATGTCCACTGTATCCTCCTCCTTTAAGCTCCATATAGTTTCATGAAGCTGATTTTCTGAGCTACTGCGCTCATGAATGTGCTTCCAGTTAAAGAGTCATCCACATGTGGCTGCCAGGTAGAGGGCCCGCGTGCCACAGGTTAGCGTGAGACCGAAGGACACGGGCTCAGACGATGCAGATGTGCAAGGAGGAGTGCAGGTGTTTGGGTGGCGGAGGACTCTGGGTGCCCACATGGCCTGAGTCCTCTATGGTTTTTCAACAGCAAGCAGAGTCGGATGATACCAAAAGCCTTTGCCTTCACCAGGACTGAATCATCAGGCTAACACCCTGAACTAAGATGGTGAACATGTTAAACATTATACCTGCTGAACATGTTAGCATTGTCATGATAAGCATGTTAGCATGCTGACATGCTAGCATTTACTCCAAAGCACCACTGTGCCTAAGTGCAGCCTCACAGAGATGCTAGAGTAGTTAATTATCAATCAAAACTCTTTGAAAGACCTCCAACCCTGAAAGGTTTTGGTTGCAATAGCATATATTGATTGTACCAGTCTGCTCCCACTGATCTTAAGTGTTGCTATAAAACTGCATAATTATGATTTATTTTTTCCAGAGAAATAAAAGAGATACAGATGAAAGAACAGATGTTGTTGCTCAGTTTAAGGCAATATGCACCCTCACCGCAAATCAAAATCTTCATTCCAAAAAGAGATTTGGAAAAAAGGCCTACTGCTGTAATGCCTGGCTGAGAAAATGATCATTCTGTAGCCGACTAAAATCTGTTTATTATTTAGATGATTTATGATGAAGTTAGTAATAGTAATGAATATTTCTGGAGAAATCCTGATAACGTAAAAACCATGGGGTAGAGGAGGTGCTGAAAGGTTTAAGGGAGGTGTTGGTGGAGAGCCTGATAATGTGTAACACACCGTGAGGGTTCTGACCCAATGTTCTCTACCTCCGTCCCTCCTTGGGCTTATAAACAACCTCTGTGAATTCAGCCAATCCTCCTCCTTCCCCACCTCCTCCACGCCCCTCACAAAAATAATGAAGCTTGCCACCATCTGTGTAAACAGGCTTGGCTAGTAGGAGCGGCTCTCTCGCTGTCTTTCTTACTGGAGCCAGCCACAAGGTCCTGTGTGTCCCCAGTTATGGGGCTGAGTGTGGTGGCAGTGGAGGGGAAGATGGGATGGGAGAGGGGAAAAGGGAGGAGAGAACACGAGGATGAAGTTACCCTCTTATTGGACCCTTGTTGGTCTTCCGCCATGGAGCTTTCTCAAATCAATCCGGGGATGAAATCCTTAAGATTAGCCAGAAGGCAGGAAGAAGAGCCCTGGTTTTA